CCCCCTCCCTATACCTAACCCAACACAGCAGATATCACTGAGCTGGACTCATACTAAACCACCAAAGAGCAGAAACCAATCATAAGACACCCACCAACCCAGGATACCTGACCTTACACCCTCTACAAAGCACAGAGGAAGAATATTACCCCACCTGGAGGCAGTTGTATTTAAAGTACCCTCAGTGGGTGGACCTGAGTCTGACTTGCCCCGTTAGGATAATGGTGGCCAGCTGAAGGTTATCATTATCCAGCTTGGCTCATCATTAACCATTTCATTGCCCCATCACACACTTTAAAGAGGAACTTCAGACATAACTTTAATGGAATGCTCAGCCAATGAACCCGGGAAAGGTCTACTTGAAGTGCACCTGTCATGACAGAAATGTGGGGGCTGCCATTGCTGACCTCCTTTTCTGGCTGCTGTGCCAACTCCCCGATGTAAGAAACCTTTTAATTCACTGAGTTGAAATAAGTGTGCAGATTATGTGAATTCTGGTTCCAGGTCTTTGGGCCCCTTCACACGTTCCCGCTCTGTTGCAGTGATGGTATAAGGAGGGGGTGCACCTACCTCCCCCATACCCCCAGAATTTGGGATGTTTCCGGGGATTGTGAGAAAGGATAACTATGACCAGAAAAGCAAAACCTGACACTCCCAAGGTAAATTATAACGTATCTTTATACCCGCTCACACCTTTCCATAGGCGTTACCCCACGCTTATTCTTCTCATGCATCCTATTCCTTTTAAATGGCCAAATAAAGAACCGCAACGTATCAACTGTGCGGGCGACTCAACGCACTAAAAGGCTCACAGCGTTCATCATCCCTGTGCTGAGTTCCCAGGTCTGTACACCCGCTGTGCCCATTATGAGGAGCTCCCACCATCCCTGTGCTGAGTTCCCGGGTCTGTACCCCTGCTGGGCCCATTATGAGGGGCTCCCACCATCCCTGTGCTGAGTTCCCGGGTCTGTACCCCTGCTGGGCCCATTATGAGGGGCTCCCACCATCCCTGTGCTGAGTTCCCGGGTCTGTACCCCTGCTGGGCCCATTATGAGGGGCTCCCACCATCCCTGTGCTGAGTTCCCGGGTCTGTACCCCTGCTGGGCCCATTATGAGGGGCTCCCACCATCCCTGTGCTGAGTTCCCGGGTCTGTACCCCTGCTGGGCCCATTATGAGGGGCTCCCACCATCCCTGTGCTGAGTTCCCGGGTCTGTACCCCTGCTGGGCCCATTATGAGGGGCTCCCACCATCCCTGTGCTGAGTTCCCGGGTCTGTACCCCTGCTGGGCCCATTATGAGGGGCTCCCACCATCCCTGTGCTGAGTTCCCGGGTCTGTACCCCTGCTGGGCCCATTATGAGGGGCTCCCACCATCCCTGTGCTGAGTTCCCGGGTCTGTACCCCTGCTGGGCCCATTATGAGGGGCTCCCACCATCCCTGTGCTGAGTTCCCGGGTCTGTACCCCTGCTGGGCCCATTATGAGGGGCTCCCACCATCCCTGTGCTGAGTTCCCGGGTCTGTACCCCTGCTGGGCCCATTATGAGGGGCTCCCACCATCCCTGTGCTGAGTTCCCGGGTCTGTACCCCTGCTGGGCCCATTATGAGGGGCTCCCACCATCCCTGTGCTGAGTTCCCGGGTCTGTACCCCTGCTGGGCCCATTATGAGGGGCTCCCACCATCCCTGTGCTGAGTTCCCGGGTCTGTACCCCTGCTGGGCCCATTATGAGGGGCTCCCACCATCCCTGTGCTGAGTTCCCGGGTCTGTACCCCTGCTGGGCCCATTATGAGGGGCTCCCACCATCCCTGTGCTGAGTTCCCGGGTCTGTACCCCTGCTGGGCCCATTATGAGGGGCTCCCACCATCCCTGTGCTGAGTTCCCGGGTCTGTACCCCTGCTGGGCCCATTATGAGGGGCTCCCACCATCCCTGTGCTGAGTTCCCGGGTCTGTACCCCTGCTGGGCCCATTATGAGGGGCTCCCACCATCCCTGTGCTGAGTTCCCGGGTCTGTACCCCTGCTGGGCCCATTATGAGGGGCTCCCACCATCCCTGTGCTGAGTTCCCGGGTCTGTACCCCTGCTGGGCCCATTATGAGGGGCTCCCACCATCCCTGTGCTGAGTTCCCGGGTCTGTACCCCTGCTGGGCCCATTATGAGGGGCTCCCACCATCCCTGTGCTGAGTTCCCGGGTCTGTACCCCTGCTGGGCCCATTATGAGGGGCTCCCACCATCCCTGTGCTGAGTTCCCGGGTCTGTACCCCTGCTGGGCCCATTATGAGGGGCTCCCACCATCCCTGTGCTGAGTTCCCGGGTCTGTACCCCTGCTGGGCCCATTATGAGGGGCTCCCACCATCCCTGTGCTGAGTTCCCGGGTCTGTACCCCTGCTGGGCCCATTATGAGGGGCTCCCACCATCCCTGTGCTGAGTTCCTGAGAAATATCACCCAAGTGAGAGGAAATTGCCATGTTAGGTAGTTGTTAGCAGAATATTTGCTATCTCTTGATCTGGTCACAACTCTCTCTGCCGGCGCTAAGGGGGCCAGTGCAGTCTTTTTCCCCCCCCCATCTTCTTTTGTCAACAGAGGTGAGCCCCCCCCGTATGGAAACACAGCAATTTGACTTGACAGAGAGCCTAACCCTTCCAACTAAACCAAAATTGCCGTCACATATATTTGAACCATTATAACACTGGGTCTGTTGTTCAAGGCTCATCATGTTGGGTGGGGAATCAGCAGGCCCTCCTAGACCCCCAACACTGCTAGATTCCTATACCCTGCTACCTGGGAAGTGGGACAGTTCTTCTCAAACTCGGCCTACGTATTCTGTCTAGGACTGTTAAGGAATCTAGTGGTCACTTGCCCCGGGCCCACCCAGTTCTTAAAAGGACCCTGGATGGTGCAGCTTTATCTGTGTGGTGAGGAGTTGACCAAGGAGACTGTAGATGAGAAGTCACCATGTAGTCAGTGTTCGGGGCCCCTCATCACAAGGGAATATGCCAACATTAGCCGCACTCCCCCCGAAGGTTGGCGTTTGGTAATTGTTCCTCTTCTAGGGAATGGAAGATAGAAGAGAGACATCTTGGTCCACCATGCAGTGTAAGTGGCCTAAAAAAAGGTTCCTGGTGCTATCACTGCTCATAATGTGAGACCTTTAATCGGGAAGTTGAATGTTCATGCTACTCAGAAGGAATGTTCCGGTAAAGTTTGTATCGCTTAAGAACCACCAGTTGTGTGGACCCCTTACATAAAGATGACCCAGATAGATAGATGGACAGTCGATGATTGGGAATCGTTGGTCGGCACCCATGAGGCCTACAGACAGATAGATGGACAGTCGATGATTGGGAATCGTTGGTCGGCACCCATGAGGCCTACAGATAGATAGATGGACAGTCGATGATTGGGAATCATTGGTCGGCACCCATGAGGCCTACAGACACATAGATGGACAGTTGATGATTGGGAATTGTTGGTCCGCACCCATGAGGCCTACAGATAGATAGATGGACAGTCGATGATTGGGAATTGTTGGTCCGCACCCATGAGGCCTACAGATAGATAGATGGACAGTTGATGATTGGGAATTGTTGGTCGGCACCCATGAGGCCTACAGATAGATAGATGGACAGTCGATGATTGGGAATCATTGGTTGGCACCCATGAGGCCCACAGATAGATAGATGGACAGTCGATGATTGGAAATCGTTGGTCGGCACCCATGAGGCCTACAGATAGATAGATGGACAGTCGATGATTGGGAATCGTTGGTCGGCACCCATGAGGCCTACAGATAGATAGACGGAGAGTCGATGATTGGGAATAGTTGGTCGGCACCCATGAGGCCTACAGACAGATAGATGGACAGTTGATGATTGGGAATTGTTGGTCGGCACCCATGAGGCCTACAGATAGATAGATGGACAGTCGATGATTGGGAATCGTTGGTCCGCACCCATGAGGCCTACAGATAGATAGATGGACAGTCGATGATTGGGAATCATTGGTTGGCACCCATGAGGCCCACAGATAGATAGATGGACAGTCGATGATTGGGAATCGTTGGTCCGCACCCATGAGGCCTACAGATAGATAGATGGACAGTCGATGATTGGGAATCGTTGGTCCGCACCCATGAGGCCTACAGATAGATAGATGGACAGTCGATGATTGGGAATCGTTGGTCGGCACCCATGAGACCTTCAGATAGATAGATGGACAGTCGATGATTGGGAATCGTTGGTTGGCACCCATGAGGCCTACAGATAGATAGATGGACAGTTGATGATTGCAACTGGAGAGGTACCGGAGGAGTGCTGCCTAACCCTAGTGAGGTCCCGTCCTCATCAAACTGGAAGGGCTCTAGTGGGGGAGTGGTGAGTCTGAGGTCTAGTGGGGTCCTGTCTATGATGCCGGAGGAGGCATTTTAGGTGGGAGTGGCTGGAGTGTGGCCCCCGGATTCTGCGGTACCCATCTACTGCTGTCACAGGGTGCTAATGGAGAGTACCATAAATACGGGGGAAAGATCTTCCACAGCCATAGGACGGTACTAACAGGAAAAATGACCTCTCCCTCTTTCTGGTGTAACTGCCCCGCACACCCTGATGATATGTAACATGTTTATAACATACAAGAGCACACAGATTGTCTGGGCATATTGTAGTGCTCAGCCTTGGTGGTAAGACTGGGGTCAGGATTAAAAGTAAAAAATGGGTAACAGGGCTGCCATCAGGGGGTACAGTCGATACTCATGTAAGGGGCCCGGGTAGCCTGGGACCCTTACATGAGTATCAGCCGCCGGCAAGGAGGAGGCCTGGCCCTAGCGGCGCCGGGCCCCAGCATTGCTGATCCAGCAGCATCGGAGCAGGCTCGGGGAACCATCGGCGGCGCCACTCGACTGATCTCGGACCGTCCGGAAGTGATATCACGTCACTTCCGGCCAGTGCAGCGGCAGAGGAGGAGGCCAGGTGAGCAGGTAAGGGGAGCTGGGGGAGGGAGAGAGAGATGTATGCAGCCCTGCCCAGCCCACCTGAGACCCCTGCAGAGCCCACCATAGAGAGTATCAGATGGGCTGTGCAGCATCTATGGGGGGCTCTGCAGGATCATTCTCAGGTATGTGTGGGGCCCAGAGGAGTCCAGCTCATATACTGTTCTGCATTGCTGTATAAATGTGTTGCTGGGATTTGTAGTCCCCCTACAGCTGGTGCCATTGTGCATTAGTGTGTCAGCTCCTCTGTACAGAGACTCATGTGACTGTGGGGGGAGGGGACATTAGAGTGTAAGCTCCTCTGTACAGAGACTGATGTGACTGTGGGGGGAGGGAACATTAGAGTGTAAGCTCCTCTGTACAGAGACTGATGTGACTGTGTGGGGGGGCATTAGAGTGTAAGCTCCTCTGTACAGAGACTGATGTGACTGTGGGATCAGCCATAATTATGGGAATACAGGTCCTGTTCCTGACATGGGGGGGCTCGATTCCTGTGATTGGGGGGGCACTATGTATTATTCACCATTTCCTCAGAGAAGGTACCAGGTGCTACCTATGAAGTCAGACTGACGAAACGCGTAGGGCGGGGACTGTGTCATCGCTCCGTGCGTCTGTCTCTGGCATTGTACCGGGGGAATCGCCAGGACTGCCGGATTACGGGATCCTCGCGCAGTTTTCTGCGTCTGTATTGGGAATGTAGATTTTGTGGGTCTCACCATAAAATGCGGAGCTTCCGTTTTATCGGAGGAGAATATACCCAGCGAGGATTATAACACCTGGAGGCGGAGATTGGTTTAGTTGTGAATAGAGTGGGGGAGGGGTTAGCCCCTCCGCCGTGTTTTTACTGTCGTCTGTGCCCCCGTTAGGGAGATTCGCCCTTTTTATGTGTCATAAAAGTCAAAGAAAATCCCACATTTTGGGTTGTCTCCAGAACAGGAAGAGAGTGGAAATGTTCCTATGGGGAAGCCCACCAGAGATTTCCCTTGGAGGGATTTCCTCTCACTTCCTGTTGTGGCTATCAGACAGGAAGTGGAGGTAAATCCCTCTGATGGGACACGATCCCTCCGATGCATAACATTGGATGTTTTGGTACATGTGACCCTCCTATAGTGTGGAGGTCATGGTGCCCGGGTGGCGGGGAGGGGTTATGACTTTGTGTTTATATTTCAGTCTTCTATCATTGGTGGGGTTGAGCGCGGCCGCTGCGGATGCTCATTGGTCGCCGGTCACATGGAGAACAGAGACGCATGTCAGGGGAAAACTTTATTAGAGAAACAAATCACATTTAACAAGCTTGCAGAGTCTGGAGGACTTGTTCTCTGTACGTTCCACTGCCGCAGAAACGGGACCTGGAGAGGAAACAGAGAAGAGCTTCATCATTCTTCATAATGGCCCAGGGGGTGGGCACTCCACCTGTGCTGGAACCACAACTCTCATCATCCCTTTGCCTCTAGAAGTATTGCCTGTCAAAGTCTTGCAATGCCTCAAGGGATTTGTAGTTCCAACTCAGCTGGGGGGGCTCAGGTTTGCCTACCACTGTAATATAGTACATGAGGATGACTGATGTCGGCCATCCATGGGCTGTGATACATGTTCTGTCATAAAGACCAGTCACTGCTGCTCTCTCTTCTTGTGCAGGGTGACTGGTCTTGTCTCCGCCCCCTCCTGTAATAAAGACCGCTCACTGCTGTTCTCTCTCCTTGTGCAGGGTGACTGGTCTTGTCTCCGCCCCCTCCTGTAATAAAGACCGCTCACTGCTGCTCTATCTCCATGTACAGGGTGACTGGTCTTGTCTCCGCCCCCTCCTGTAATAAAGACCGGTCACTGCTGCTCTCTCTTCTTGTGCAGGGTGACTGGTCTTGTCTCCGCCCCCTCCTGTAATACAGACTGGTCACTGCTACTCTCTCTCCTTGTGCAGGTTGACTGGTCTTGTCTCCGCCCCCTCCTGTAATAAAGACCGCTCACTGCTGCTCTCTCTGCTTGTGCAGGGTGACTAGTCTTGTCTCCGCCCCCTCCTGTAACAAAGGCCGCTCACTGCTGCTCTCTCTGCTTGTGCAGGGTGACTAGTCTTGTCTCCGCCCCCTCCTGTAACGAAGGCCGGTCACTGCTGACTCTTTGTGCAGGGTGACTGTAGGGAAATTGTACTGTCTCCCTCCATTTCATAAAGCGATGTGCAAGCCGGTTGGCTCTGTATAAATCCTGTATAATAATAATATAATACATGGTACTCACGACCTGCCGTCTCTGCCGTTCAGGACCGTTATGGAGGAGGCTCCAATTGTGGGCAGCAGAGGGTTAAATTGGTTGTTGTTCCAGATAAACTTCACTTGGCTCAGAGACCCCACGTCGGACTCCACGTCAATATGGGCCGTGTATGTGTTGGAGCTCCTAATGCTTCCTCTATGGGTAGAAAATGAGAAGCGGATTATTGGTATCATGTCAGCTGATGAGTCACAGCGGTGCCCCCCCTACAGGCCAGAGACAGGATTACATTTCCCCCTCCGGCCTACCGTCACATCAACGAAAGGGGAACTGAAGCCAAAACCTTTCTTTATAGTGTTGGATGGGGTAAGGGAGGATTATAACCCCCATCAGCTTTGATTTTGCCATCTGTGTCCCGTGAGGGAGATTTTCCTTTACTTCCTGTCTGATAGTCACAACAGAAAGTTAGGGGAATCCTTGGTGCTCGGCAGAACTAGTGTCCCTACTGGAAGATTTCGCATCTATTCCTGTTCTGTGATGTGGCTACTAGACATTTAGTGAAAGCCGGGGCTGTAGACAGCCTGGCTGGATTTGTAGTGGCCATTATATGGTCCGCAGTGGTCCATGGAAGAAAAACCGGTCAGGGTCAAAAGTGGCCAAGGCTCATTGATGGACAGGGGGGAGGGAAGGCTCATTGATGGACAGGGGGAGGGAAGGCTCATTGATGGACGTGGGGAGGGAAGAAAACGTGGGGAGGGAATGCTCATTGATGGAGGTGGGGAGGGAATGCTCATTGATGGACGGGGGGGAGGGAAGGCCGACCGGTGTAGTCCGATCCAGTAGAAGAGATTCTGTAGATCAGAATGCTGATAAAGTTTATGGTTCTGATAGAAAGGAGTCTGAACACACAGAGCATCGCAGGTTGCTGTGTATGGGGCTGTGTAGATGAAGACCGGTCAGGGGGTCCATGCAAGATCTGATACTGGCGAGTGTTTCCATTGGATCCAAAGAGAGAAACGAGGAAAAATCCTTCCACATTGGATCCGGTGACCTGTACGCTGACCCTGTAACGCCAACCTGGGGGAAGGACAATACAGAATACAATTATCATATATTACCATGTATGTGTACAACCCGACACAAAACTACAGATCACCTCCAGGCAACAGTCTCCGAGGATGGAGATCAAATCCCCAAAAACCAAACTTTCGCTACATACCAACCAGAGCCAAATAACCAGACAAGGCAACAGTAGACATCAGAGACACCTTATTCATTGTCCTGGAATCCGACTACACCAGATCCCACTTCAATTGTAGAGGGGTCACCATACAAACCTGGAGAGGCAAACCTCCTGACATCCTCATCTATCCCGGGTCTGTACACCCGCTGTGCCCATTATGAGGAGCTCCCACCATCCCTGTGCTGAGTTCCCGGGTCTGTACACCCGCTGTGCCCATTATGAGGGGCCCCCACCATCCCTGTGCTGAGTTCCCGGGTCTGTACACC